TCTGCCTCTGCCTCTGCCTCTCTGTAACTCTGCCTTTCAAATAAACAAATAAAGCTTTAAAAAAATAAATCAGGAAGTTATGGCTGGCAGCGAAGTACAGGCCTCAGGAGTCAGGTCCCATGGTTTTGTTTTGACCACTGAGTCACGTAGTGATCAGCAATCACATGAATATTGGCCAATTCTTCTGTTGTTCTTTAAGGGTGAAGACGTAAACAAAACCTCTTGCCTTGCACAGGAAAATTCACCGCTTGTTTTAAAACTGCCTTGGAGGGAAAGGTTTAAGAATCACAATCGGGGCCTGGCACTGTGGCATAGGGGGCTAAGCCTCTGCCTGCAGTGCTGGCATCCCATACGGGCACCGGTTCAAGTCCCGGCTGCTCCACTTCCAATCCAGCTCTCTGCTATGGCCTGGGAAAGCAGTAGAAGATGGTTCAAGTCCTTGGGCTCCTGCGCCTACATGGGAGACCTGGAAGAAGCTCCTGGCTTCAGATCAGCTCAGCTCCAGCCGTTGTGACCATTTGGGGGAGTGAACCAGCAGATAGAAGACCTTTCTGTTTCTCCTTCCCTCCGTCTATAACTCTAGCTCTCAAATAAACAAGTAAAATCTTTTAAAAACAAAGAATCACAATCAGCTGTCTCTCATGATGGAATCATTTCATTCTTCCATCAGTCTTTCCTCTTAGCTTCACAACTACCCAGCTAGTAGCCTGCAGGTACATCTGAGCAGAGCAGCCCAGGGAGGGCAGCAGAGTGGAATGGTCCTGATACAGAATACAAAACTCCCTATTAGAATGATCAAAAGCAAGTCTAGTTAGGATTCCTAGATGCATCCAGATGTTTGTCAAATGAATGTGTGAATGAACTGGCAGTCATTCATTGCTTCCAAACCACTGGGACACAATCTCTAATTGTTCAAACTTTTTGGCTTTGGCTTTCTCTTGGGACCACAAGGTTTCATGTGTGTTAGAAGCATTTCTGGGGCTGGTGCGGTAGTACAGTGGGTTAAGTCCCCACCTGCAACACTGCTGGACTCCTGGATCCTCCACTTTTGATCAGATCCCTGCTAATGTGCCCAGGGAGGCAACAGAAGATGGCCCAAGTGCTTGGGCCCCTGCCACCCACGTGGGAGATCAAGTTGGAATTCCAGGCTCCTGGCTTTGGCCTTGTCCAGCCCTGGCCATTGTAAATATTTGGGGGAGTGAACCAGTAAATGTAAGATATCTGTGTGTGTGTCTGTCTGTCTGTCTGTCTGTCCTTCTCTCTCTCTGTAACTCTGACTTTAAAATGAATAAATAAATAAATAAATAAATAAATCTGTTTTTTAAAAAAACAAAGGGACATGTTAGTCCCTATACTAGAAAAACTTCTCAACTCTGTTCCTAGTGGTAGTGGGCAATGTGTTAGAGCCCCAGTCCCTGCTGGATGTGTTCTTTCGTAACATGTATCACCATTACAGCTGGTTTTTTTCTGACTGATTTCTCTGCTAGGTCCAGCATGGAGCACAGAGCCTGGCACATAGGTGATATCTGCTAAACACCAGCAGATGAATGAATAAGTCAACTGCTTACTCTCTACCAAAGCACTGCTCGCAGATGGTGCACGCTGGGATTTCAGCTTAGTGCTACTGTGCTTTCTCGTTTCCTTTCTCATGTTTTATCCTCCAGGCAGGTTCGGGTAACCCTACACCCTCCCCACTTTGCTGAACTGAAAACTAGGAAATGCTTACGTTAGTGTGAAATTGTACTTGAACGCTTCAGCGACACGGGCACTGGAGTGCTCACAAGCTCCGACAGAATTCCTTAGTTGCAGAAACAGGGAAATAAGTGATTTTCTGTTTGTCTACACAGTGACTCATCAGTGTTACCTTGTCCTGTGCAAGTGGAGATCTGGTTACTGGGAGAGTCAAGACAAGCAGAACCACCTCCTAGAAACCAAACATGCATCGGGCAGAGCTCACTTTCTTCCATCTCCCAACGAGAGAGGCAGATTATCTAAATGCTGATTATGTCATGATCTCTTGGTGTGGCAACATTTCACTCCCAAGCAAATAGAGCAAGGATCCAGGCAAGCCTCAAATAGACTATGCCATCTGCACATTTCCTTTTTGCCCCAGGAATAGAGATGGCCAGAGGCAGAGAAGAACTTGGATTAAAAGTGGCGGTCTAGAAAGGTAAGTATTCCAAGACACAGGGCTAAGAAGTAGCCAACTGAGTAGAAGGAACATGACTACAAAGGGATCCCTAATGCTTTAATCTTGTATCAAGGAAGTTGTGAGTATGGGCGTGTGTACATTCACAAGCCTATTGCTTATCTGCAGGACCACACTTTTAGAGCTCATGGACGAACAAGGACATTCTTGTTCCTTACAAAGAATGTCCAGGAATCTACCTGCTTGACTTCTAAAAGAATTTCTTTAGCATTGGTCTTGCAACTCTTCTGATTTGACTACAAATAAGAGCCTGGCTAGGAAAAATAGAGGGCATTGGTGCCCTGCCCAGATCCTGTTTTCAGCAGGTGCACCAAGAGGCCAGCTGCTGTGAGCTGTTGGTTGCTAAGAGCTCACAGCTGTCTTCTCTGGAGGATTGTTCTCAGCTAACAGGAGTGCAATCCCTAGTCCAAGAGTGTCCCACTTACTGAAGGGGCATACAAAACCAACTTCCTTGCTCCAAGGCAGGACAAATGTGGGTGCCATTCATGCTGCAAGAGCCATCACGGGTCAGGTTATAGGTGGACTTCAATGGGCCACACCCTTCCTTATCTCCTTCCCTCACCTCGTCCTGCTTCCCACACTCCCCTCTCCAGAAATCACTCTTTCAATTGTTCGCATGTCTGCATCTCGGGCACTGGGGGTCAAGACTTAAGATGAGGGCAGGTGTTTGGTGCGGTGGTTAAGATGCCACTTATGATGCTCACATCCCAAATAGGAGAACATGAGCTGGAGTCCTCTCTCCATTTCCAATTCCCGCTTCCTGCTGGTGCGTACCCTAGGAGGCAGCAAACGATGGTGCAAGTGCATGGATTCTTGCCACCCATGTGGGAGAACAAGATCGAATTCCAGGCTCCTGGCTTCAGCCTGGCCCATCCTCTGTTGTTATAGGCATTTGGGAATAAACCAGTGGTTGAAAGAGTTTCTCTCTCTCTCTCTCTCTCTCTCTCTCTGCTTTTAAAATAAATAAAAATAAGAAAAAATGTTAAAAGACTTAAGATAGGCACTAATACAACTAACACTTGTATAACAGCATATGCCAGGTGCTCTTCTAAGAGCTATGTATGTATGAACTCCTTTAGCCTTCACAAATCTACCTCTATGAGGCAGATGTTACTATGATCTCTGCTTGGCAGCTGAGGCAACTGAAACAGAGAGGTCAAATAATTTTCCCAGTGTCACACAGTAAGTTTGAAACTACAGTTTGAACCCAGACAGTGCAACCCTTAACTACAATTCCTGCTGATTCTCACAACTCTCTCTTTAATACCCTTTTAGTTCCTTTTCAGAAACTGAGTTTAGCTCTATCTCAATCCTTCTGAATACTTTTTAAAAAATATTTTATTTATTATTTGAGAAGCAGACTTACAGAGAGGAGGAGAGACAGACAGAAAGGTCTTCCATCTGCTAGTTCACTCCCCAGATGGCTACAACAACCGGAGCTGAGCTGATCCAAAGCCAGAAGCTTCTTATGGGTCTCCCACGCAGGTGCAGGGGCCTAAGGACTTGGACCATCTTCTTCTGCTTTCCCAGGCCATGGCAGAGAGCTAGATTGGAGCAGCTGGGACTTGAAGTGGCGCCCATATGGGATCCTGATGCCACAGTCAGAGGCTTAGGCCACTATACCACAGTGCCAGCCCCCTTCTGCATATTTTAATAACCAGGGAATAAGGGACATCTTAAGACTAGTCTTAAGGAGGAAATCTCAATGAGCATAAGAATTTCTTGTAGTTGCAACTCCCGCAATTCCAGTCGGCATTATGTAAAGATTAATTTCATACTTGAGCAGATGCTGCACAGTGCGCACTGCTGTGGCTACAGAAACTATACTACTTCGGAGGAAACAGGAAAGTCAGCCTGAGAGAAGAGCGTTTTCCAGCGACATGCTATGAAAGCACACTTAGATTTTGACAGTGCTGGTGGCTGACAGTTACCCAAGGTAGGGGGATAGGGAAGGAGAGCCCAGAGCTTTTGTGTGCCACTCAAAGGAATGTGAACTGGTGCAGCCTTCTTGGAGAACTGTCCAGCAGCATCTACAAAGTGGGATCTATGCAAAGCAGGAGCCTGGAGCTTCTGCCAGGTCTCTCGCAACGGTGCAGGGACCCAAGCACTTGGGCCATCCTCTGCTGCTTTCCCAGGCACATTAGCAGGAAGCTGGATTGGAAGTGGAGCAGCCAAGACTTGAAGCAGTGCCAATGTGGGATGCTAACATCACAGATGGCGACTTAACCTTCTATTCCACTGCACTGGCCCCCAAAGCAATTTTCTTGCTGAGTGACCAACTTGTGGGTTCAATTTGCATCGTGAAGTATTGAGTTGATCTTGCCAAGAGCTCTTCTTCTCCCTCATACTCTGCTCTACACTGAGTTCTGGAATGTTTTCCATATTCCAAGGCACCAGATCTAGGCCATTTACTTAGAAACTAGAAAACCATCCAGAGAGGCACTCCTTAACCACCAGAGGGAAATGTCTCTGCCCTGCCCCAACAGTGTTCACCCAGGGCCTGCGTTTACGACAACGAGCAAGCAGAACAGGGTGACAACTGTACATGGAGCCAGTGCCCAAGCCGCAGGGGGGCCCTGGCAGATGAAGACTTACTTTGGAAGCTCTTCCTGGGCCTAGCCATTCCGATGGGGTTCCCCACTCTCCGTTCCTTAAGGCGATGAGCAATTTCAAAGAAACCAACCATCTAGCTTCCAATACCACCACCCCCCTCCCTGTCAGTCCATTTCAAGACACAACAGGGTCCCTGATGTGGACAAATAGGATTTCTAGGCGTCTTCAGCATCAGTACCTGGCAATCACAATGTGTTCTCTTTTCATTGCCGAAAGCAGCTGGTGAGTCTTCATGTCATTTCCTTAAAAAAATAAATAAATAAATAAATAAAAATAAAAATAAAAATAAAAATAAAAAAATACATAATGGCTTCTGGGAGATTATTTGTGACTTTACCAAGAGGAGCTGAAACCCTTCTTCACCATTTGAAAGCCCTTTCTCCTCTACTAGCATGAGAATGAGGAGGAGGAGGAGTCACACTTGAGAAAAAGTGAATCTGCAGTAATGGTTTGCCAGGCATTACCTTGGTCCTTGGCCTTGAGGCCTGAGGGATGTAAATGCATTCATCCATTTGCTTCACGGACATTTATTGGACACCTGCTAGGCATCAAGCTTTGCCCTAGACACCGAGGACAAGGCAGGGAATTAGCAACTGTGTTCTGAGAAGCTTGAACTTCCCTTGAAGGACGTACTTAGAGCAGGACAAGGGACAGTGCCAGAGCCACACTCCCCCTGCAAAGCTTGGGTACTCGGAACACAGAGGCCCTCCTTCAAAAAAACATGCCATCTTCTCCGTCCCCCTGTCCTCAGCATTCCCCACTCACAGCTGCTACTGGGCAACATGCTCCTTGAGCTTCCTCGTGATGTAACTGTGGCTAAAAGCAAGCGTGGAGCATGTTCGTCGTAGAAGATCCTGAAAGACCGGCCAACTTCCCCATCCATATCTCTTAGGACAATGCTGTGCCCACTTTGCTCCCTGGAGGATGGCACCCTGGCCATCTTTCAGCTCCTCTGATGTGCCAAGCTCTTCAGCACCTTAGGACCTTCTGCTAGCTCTTCTCTCAGCTTAAATTTCCCTCTCCCTGATTTTCTCAAGGAGATCAACAATATCTTCTTGTTCCTGAAGTTAGCAGTTTCAATATCATCCCTCGGAGAGGCCTTTCCCAACCATCAATAAGTGGGTTCACCTCTCCAGTTCCTATCACATTCTGGGATGGCCTGACCCTAGCTGCCTGTGTTTTCTGTCTTCTTGCACACCATAGAAGGCAAGTAGGGAGTGGTTCTGTCTGGCTCCCCTCTGTGTTCCCACTGCCTAGCATGTAGAAAGAACACAATATGTATTTGTTTAACAGTTCAATGAACAAAGGAATAAGTGAAAAATATTAGAAATAATAGGAAAGTCCCACAATCGGAGATTTGCTAAATAATTTTGGTAAATCCCTACAACAGACTGACACTGCAGATGAATATTTTTCAAACTATAAATTCCAATCTTTATGTAGCTCATGTAAGGAACTAGTGGGCCAAGAAACAGTGTATGCTAATGTATACTATTTCATTATAATATAGAATAGAAATATCAAAGTACATTATATATTGTAAGGGTATGTATTAGGTAAATGTGTGTTTGTTTAGTAGGTAGCAATATAAATATCTTCTTTTCTATGAGTTGTAGCCAGAAAATTTGTAAATCATTCTTATAAAAAGATTAATGACAAGAAAATATATTCATAATACATTAAGTGAGGAAAACTGGATTGAAAAGGAATAAAGACAGTATATGTGTGCAAGATAAAATATTAGATGGGAATAATATTAGTTTTAAAAAAAAAGCATGGATAGGAACAAAAAAATTAACCAAAATGTTGAGTAGATTTTTTGTGGGATTTTATTGTTGTCTTCTTTATATTCATCTTTGTTTTTTTCAGTTAGTTACAATGAATATGTAATTTTTCAAATGTGAATTATTTCTAGAAGATACTCTATAATACTCTTTAGAAAACAGGCTTTTCTTTAATAAAAGTATCTTAATGATAATGTCATAAATTATTGCAAATAAGCTTTTAAGTGCCTATAGAAAGTGTAATTACGATCCGGAGTTCTCCATAAAAGTGTTTCATCTCTTATTATCTTGTCTAATCTCCATAATAATACAAAAAGGAGGCAACCCAGCAGTTATCCTTATGCACAGCAGAGGAAACTGAGGCACCGTGATGGGAAATGACTTATCCATAGTCATACTGCAGGCGAGTGGTTAGCCTGGCCCTCTGATCGTGAATCCGCATGCTACACCCTCCACACTTCACCTATTTTGCTGCAATTTGCTACTTTATTGTGCTGTGTGGGACATAATTATCTGTTTTTCCCGTGTTATGAAAGAGTGAAGTTTCCCTACCTTATTGCCTGCCTTTCTACTAGGTCCTTGAGGCTGTCAGCTCTGCACAATGGTTTAGCCACTCCACCTGCCATTTTCCACTCCCTACAGCTACCAAGCTTTTGCCATTTCTGCATTCATTTCAGATCCTGGAGGCACTGTCACTTGGGTATTAAGAAATCTGCTTGACCTCTCTCAGCCTTGGTTTCCTGATCTGTAAAATGGAGATAACGATGAGAATACTTGTTTGACTTTATAGGTTGTGAAGATTAAATGAGTTAATGTAAGTAAAGTACCTGGGAAGCAACTGAAATCATACTCAATACACGTTATTGCACTCTATTGCTACTATTATTGCTTTTATATAGTCTTGGAGGCTCTGTGGCCCAATCACTTGAACATTGTATCCCCTGAATTTTTGCGTCTTTTTGCGTCTCCCAGACACCCAGAGTGGATTTCCCCTCAATCACTTTCCTAAATGTTATCAATGACTTCAAAACTCTTCTTAGTGTTCTAGTCCAAGGAAGCTCCTGATTTATGCCTCTTATATTTGAAGCCGTAGCTTTCAGTGTCGACTGTTAGTTCTCTTGATGCATGTATGAGTCTCTCTGAGGGGATTGAGTACCTACGGAGGATTTTTTTAAAAGATTTATTTATTTATTTATTTATTTATTTATTTATTTGAAAGTCAGAGTTACACAGAGAGAGAAGGAGAGGCAGAGGGAGAGAGAAAGAGAGAGAGAGGTCTTCCATCTGATGGTTCACTCCCCAATTGGCCACAACAGTTAGAGCTGCAATGATCTGAAGCCAGGAGCCAGGAGCTTCTTCCTGGTCTCCCACGCGGGTACAGGGGCCAAAGGCCTTGGGCCATCTTCCATTGCTTTCCCAGGCCATAGCAGAGAGCTGGATCAGAAGTGGAGCAGCCAGGACTTGAACCGGCATCTATATGGGATGCTGGCACTGCAGGCGGCGGCTTTACCCACTAAGCCACAGCACCGGCCCCGTACGGAGGATGTTGTTGGTTATCTCTCTTACATTGTCTCTCTTAAACATTGTTTGTCTCGCGGTACCCATTTTGCCCTTTTTCAGCAACAACACGGGTGTGTGTTTGGAGCCTCCCTCAAGCTTCAGTCCAAACGGTCCAGGTGGGGCTCTAGCTCCCACACTGGAGTGTCAGATATAAAAAGAGGGGGGGGGAGTCACTTTCTGGCAGCTTCCCTCTGATGGGACTAACAAGGTCTAGAGCTGAGAAAATGAGAAGCCACTGCTAGTCCCCATCACTTTGTGAAGTCTGAGAATAAGCCAACATAGAGGAGCATGAGGATGAGCTTCCAGATGGAGAAAACAGATCTTGGTGACAGCACTGGAGCCCAGGCGCAAGGCTCACCTACAGCCAGCCTTTGCACTGAGCTTCTCAGTTAGACAAGCTAGCGCTTTGCATTTTCTTTAAGCTTTCCTTAAGACAGTTGGGAATTATATTCTTTTAACACTCAGAGTCCTAGAACCAGAAATGTCCCCAGAACCATTTGTTAACAAACAAACAAGCTGAGAAAGTCTATAAGAGAATGATGGAACAAAACAAATGCCCAAGGAAAATTAAACATAAAACATGGCAAATAGGGGGCCCAGCATTGTGACATAGCGGGCTAAGCTGCCACCTGCAGTGCCAGCATCCCAAGTGGGTACTGGCTCAAGTTCTGGCTGCTCCACTTCTGATCCAGCTTCTGGCTAATGCTCTTGGGAAAGCAGCTGAAGATGAGAATCACTTTCCAGAAGCAGCTTCAAAAGTAAAGTTTAAGAGAAAATAAGCCCGGGGCTGGCGCTGTGGCATAGTAGGCTAAACCTCCACCTGTGGCACCAGCATCCCATATTGGTGCCACTGGTTCGAGTCCCAGCTGCTCCTCTTCCAACCCAGCTCTCTGCTATGGCCTGGGAAAGCAGTGGAAGATGGCCCAAGTCCTTGGGCCCCTGCACCGATGTGGGAGTACCCGATGAACCCCCTGAATCCTGGCTTCAGCTTGGCACAGCTCTGGCCTATGCAGCCATTTGGGGGAGTGAACAAGCAGATGGAACATCTCTGTCTCTCTCTTTCTTTCTCTCTTTCTCTCTGCCTCTGCCTCTCCTTCTCTGTAATTCTGACTTCCAAATAAATGATAAATCTTTAAAAAAAAAGACATGGCAAATAGTATTCTAATCTCTAAGTATTTCTGAAAAAATTAACTCAAATATCCTTACAAGATTCCAGCCTCTGTCTACCCCTATGTCATTTGAAAATACACTTCTTTACTCGGGATTACTTAAAGACATTCCACCTGGACGAGCTGGACACCCCCCAAACCCCAAGAAAACATTGCTTTCAGCAAAGACAAGGTGATGGGGACAGAATTTGAAACACAATGTGGTTGTTTGCATTGCACATAGAAAGGCTCTAGCATCAGGCTAGACAAACAAAGAATGAAAAGTTTCAGGAGGCAAAATTGGGTTTGTGTTGACTTTGAACAGGGCAATTGCCCACCCCAGGCTCCCACCTTTCCCCCACCCACATGCGACATGGTTGAGTCGCTTCTTGGAAACGTGACATTCAGTCCCAACGTCACTTTCACTTCCCCTCAGCAACTCTGCCATGCAGAGGAGGTGCCCTTGCCCGAAGTCAGGCATTTCTATTCTGGCAAGAGGCTGGTAGACCAGAATGGCAGCTGTCTGCGCAAAAATGCAAGTCATCAGGGGCAGGAAGAAGAGGAGAGATGGAACAGCTGGCTCACCCTGTTGCCTTTTTTTCACCTTTTCCATACTTGCTAAACCACTTTCTTGGTTGCCTTGTCTACAGGCATGGACTGGAAAAGGCTGCTTGTGGTCTGGTATGAAGACCAGCCCCACTGTATCCCTGAGTTACTCACTGGTTACATAGGGAGTTCTCATGCCAAGGC